ACAGAAGTGCAGTCCTGTGTTGGGTCTATACATCAATCTGTACCAATCTCAACCATAAAGATCGCAGATATGGAGTGGATAGTAAACAGAGGTATTACGCCTCCCCAGCATCATTCTGCAAGGAGTACTAAACGCAGTGAAACAGCGCCACCTTCTGGTTGAAAGCACACAGCAATAAATAGGGCTCCAAATTCTGTAAATCAGTGCCTCCAAGTCTAGCAAGTCAGATAGTTTGCACACGTAGCACTTGGAAAGGTGAAAACTAGATTCTCCACCTTCAAGGCACTCGTTTGCGATCCCTTCTGTTTTAATGCCGACCTGTACTCCACATCCAGTGTGAGAAAATGTTAACAATGACACAACTGCTATACTTTCTTTTATACCAAAAAGACAGGTCTTTTTTTGTCTTAAGACAGGTAAATGTACCTTTAGAGACAATGTGCAGTTGATAAAACGAGTAGAGATGTGAGCCGAGAGAGAGCACCCAGTAGACACAGACCTCAGCTCTCCCCAACGCTGCATGGGAAGGCTTCTGTTTAGCCATAGGGGTCAGGGCTGGAAATACCTTAATGAAGTGAGACAGAGGTATTAGCTCATATGAATCGTTTTGTAAGGAATGTATCAATTGTATTCGGGTTTTGTGTTTTATTTGCATAAACCATATTTAATTTGAATTTAATATAAACGTTGCCTAGACACCTGACTTATGGCTTTCTAAAAGTCGCATGATCAAACTCATTTGGTCCCATAATGGGGTAGGGAAAAGACCAATAAAAGCAGTAGGGACTGAGTTTCTATTCGCTGCATACCAAAATGATTGAAATTAAAATTATCATCGCAACGTCTACACCCGGTCTATGACGTATCATGCATCAGATGTGTTCAATTAAAATCCCCCCTCAATTATTGTATGCAGTTTTATTCGATATGTACCGACTTCAAACACCGTTTTGAATGTTTACACTGGAGCAATGTCTCCATTTCCCCGAGACTAAATAAGGCACAATAAGGAGTGTAAATGAACATAATCAAAACCAAATGAATGAAACAGGGCTCTAGCTTTGCCTCTCACATACATTGAAAAATAAACAAACGAATCGACTTACATCTTCAGCTTTTTATTTAAGCCATAAGTAAACGCCTGTTGTCTGGAAAACCGCTCGCGTGATCTCCGCCCACATTTTCCTTCATGTTTTTTCCCGAGACTTCCCATTGGTTACAGTGGTTTAATGATCTGATTGGAGGAGTTGGGTGTCAATCGAATATGCACCCTCAATGACGTAAGGCTTTATTCATAACCAAGTGAAAAGCATTCTGCTAGGAATTGTAACTTGTGATGTTTTCCCTTTTTTTTAATCTTATTCTGTTCGAAAGGGAATGAAAAATGAGTAGTGTTTTGCCCCTATGTCTATATTTTTTATGGATGTGCTTACACAAATGTCTAAATATTATGACCCCTCACAGGTGAAGTGAATCGTTTCATGTCAAGCTCTGGGTAGAAGTGAACATTCACCTTTCCTAATCAATGTGGTGAATGCAAGAGAAATGGGCACTGGTAAAAACCTGAGTGACTTTGACAAAAGCCAAATTGTTACGGCTAGACGACGCGGTCAGAGCACCTCTGAAACGGCACGGTTCCGGTCTGGTCCAGTAGGTTCCGGTCTGGTCCAGAAGGTCTATTGTTGTATGTGTACACGTCTTAGAAAACTGTAATGATGGTTACGGGAGAAATGTGTCACCACGGAAAGCGTCTACAATTGGCTTACGAGCGCTGGTTCGCCTGGTCTGATAAGTCACATATTCTTTTACATCATGTGGATGGACCGCTATGATTACTCATTAACACTTGATTACTCTTTATGCCCAATACGTTATTGGTTACGATGCCTAATCGTCTATGCGGCCTGTGCATTATAGCTTTCACCACTAGGAGGAGATAGACAGCGGCACAAACAAGGCAATGGCCATGACAGCCTCTGATCAGATCTCAGATCAGCCTGGCAAAACTGGCCCAATCAGCGTCTGGAGGCAAACTTCGCCCCAGCACACCTTCAGAAGCAGAACGCCCTCAGTCGTGATAGGTATTGAACTATTTGAAAGCAGTAGGAGTTTAATCTTCAGCCATACGAATACTTGTTGAAGAATGACGTCAAAGTGCCCCAGATGCACAAAGGATGTGTATTTTGGTAAGGAATATTGTTTTGCTACTTGAATGTTTTATCTGGGAACAGCGTTATTTCGGAGATATATGCATTCAAGTATATTTCACATCTCATATATCAGACCGGTTTCCCAGTGAAAACTTTTTTAATCAAACCAAAAAGGTCACTCGCACCTGAAGGGCACTAAAAGTGAAGATGTATGCACATCCTGGAGCATTTCTTTGAAGAGGGGGCAATCACAGAATCTGAAATGTAAATTGGGGTTCTACCGGTTTTCTGCAACATGGTAACATTATTTGCATTTAAATGCTTTTGTGTGTAGTTTTTTTAGACATTCATTAATATTTTAATGACTAAGTGAACACAATAACCTACCTTTAATTACACCATAGAACGGAAAACGTTCAATACCGAAGTGTTAATATGATAGTTATTGAAATGACAAATTCACACAAGTGAACAGTGAACATTTTTGGGGAAATAACCCTCCCGTGGATATCTTAGTATTGTTATAAAACAAAACAGAGATTAATAAGTAATTGGCTTTTAACATTTCTCTTGTATTTCATTGTTTTACATAATAACTTGTGCAAAACATCTCAGTTATTGCAAAAAATACAAGAGCCTATCATATTTTTGCAATCAGTTACATATTGACATAGAATTTATTCCAAACGTGTGGTTTTGTAATGGAAATGCTTTTGTGAAGAAAAGAAAAGTGCGTTTTGTAAACTGCAACTGGATATGAATGCCAAACTGGTCCCTGCTGGTGACATCGGATTCATACTCAATAGAAGGCGTTTTTATTGTACTAGAATGTTGCTGAAATCTTATATTTGTTCTGGTGATGATCCAATTGTAATCCATAGCTACTGTATATTTCTAGTCAGAAATTTAAAGCAATAATTTGAATTATATTTTTATGCCTGTCTATGGTTTTGCTAAATCTCTATTTTTACACCTGCTGATTATTCCTAAATATTCGTAGAGGATAAGTTACTATATGACATTTTTATTGAGGCTACTTGAACGATCTTGTAGGCAGCGCAACTCTAAGGTACTCTAAGGTAATATTATTTAATTTCGTACTCTGCTCCATGTTAGTCTTGAATGTCATTCTTGCAGTGTAACTGAGCTGAATTAGCCTAAGTTAAACCAGGACTGGGGTCATAATGTCCAATAACATGTCAGGGAAAGTGTAGGGTGCAAAGTCTGTATTGGTTATTTCCTACTGTGTGAACCAACATAGAGGAGACCTTTTGCTTAATGTCAGAAAAATAAATATGCCCTCAGCAGACAGCATTTAGACAAATAATGTAAATACTGAAATAATAATAATGAAAATACCATTTAAATGCCTTATTATCATCTTATTTTAACTATTTTGCCCAAATGTATTCATAACACAGTGGATAATCCCAATTGTAACTTTTTTATCAGGCTTACTGTATTGTTTGTGTGTTTTTGTTATCACAACGAGCACTATCAAACTCTCTCCTTCTGTCCTGCAGCTGAGAAGGTGAGCTCGCTGGGGAAGAACTGGCACAGGTTCTGCCTGAAATGTGAACGCTGTAACAAGACCCTGTCGGCTGGCAATCACGCTGAGGTAACAAGAGGCCCCGTGGCTGCTATATCCTATCTATAGAAAGAGTAGGAAGAAAAGAGAGGTAGGGAAAGTGATGTGGAGGCTGTGCTTTCTTATTGGAGGGAGGGAAAGACAGAGAGCCAGGGAATCCAGTAGGATAAGACACTAACCCCATGCAGCACAAACTGGATGGCTATTAATGCATTGTGGCAGCTCAGTATGAATCACTGCAATTTACTGCTTAATATTTGAATAAACTCCAAAGTAAATGTAGCTGTAGCAGTAGACGTTAGCTCACTACAGCTGTGATAGTTGTTGTGAAATTCAGTGGCCTAAAAAAATCCTATCATCTCACAAAATTAACGTTTTGGGTCAACTTGATAGCTCGTCCATAAATATAAAAACATTGGCTTCAGAATACCGTGACACTCATGACTCAATGTCACGTTATTCTGTAGGGCACTACGTTTGTCCAGAGTTCTCTGTGGTGACATCCGTGGCTTCAGATTGTGTCATGTCATCTTTCATTATTCATCTTTAAGGATGGGAATTTTCTAAATCACTGAGCTGAATCGTTTAAGGGGCCTTTCACTCTGGATTGTTAGGGATTTGTAGCATGTATGAGTCTTCTAGGTCAGTGAGATTTCTTTCACACATAAAAGCGACAAAATGGGGTTTGCACACTAAAAAACACACTGTGGTATGTCAGAATTTATATTTAATATATCTGAAAAAAATATGTTTTCATGTTTTGTACATTTTGCTAAGCATCCGCGTTATACTGCTCAGGCTGCTTTTCTATAATATAATAATATTTTCTCCAAAGATGGGATTTCCAAATTATTATTCCACTAAACTTGGCATAGCTAGCTTACAAACAAAACATTACGCAACACAATGGCTTGATATCATGAAGGATTTGAAGTAGTTATGCATGTTTAAACTGGCTTTCGGTACTGTATAATAGAAGTAAATGACAGTGGTAACTAAATATTGAGAGATTCTTACTTTGGGTCTGTTGGCAGTTCCTGACAATATCCTGGTCAAATGTGGATAAAAGAATTAATGAAAAGTATTTACTTATCACATGTGATGGCAGGAATTTCTTTACTGCTTCTTTTGGGTAGGTTAAGAAGCTAACCGTTGAGATCTGTGGCAAATCTAAGATAATATAAGCTACTCTTTTCAGAAATGGCTGCCGTCAATGCTTCATTAAGTGACAGTGGGAAAGACAGAGGAGAGTGTGCTGCAAATTGTGCAGGCCGGAATCGAACCGGCGCCACAGCCTATAGGCCGTGGCCTAGCCCTAGACCACCGGACCAACCCGGGCCACCCAAATGTTGATGATATTCTAGATACGGAACATAGAACAAACGGAAGCATGTTTAATAGAATGACCAGATTTAGTGGAAAGCTGAAAAAGGTTGATTTTGGTTGTCAAAATGAAAACAAGTTATACCCGCATTTACAAAATAGCAGTGTTTAGAGTAGTTTTCTATATTAAAACCTTTAGGCAAACAGTAGTAGAACAACATGAATCCCCTTGTTGAATGGAAAATTGTCTCTATTGGTAAATGTCTGAGAATGTTATTGTTTTTGGCATAGAAAATCTGGGATAAATCCCTCCACAGTTCACAGAACGTGTGTTTTTATATGTGCAATCTATTCTATCTAGGGGTACATTTGGTTTACTAATCCACCGTGATTAAATCTGCTGTTTTAAAAATACCTACAATGTTAAAAAGTATGTTTTTCAGTGTCCATTCTAAATATTATTTAATTAATTAAAATCATATTTGCCAACTGGCGTGTTATGGTAGGTATGTGGTGTCTAGTTCATCTGTTTGTTTTGGATGCTAGAATTTGTGGTATTTTATAAATATACCAAGTAATGTAAAAACTCATTTTTTAACTATACAGTACATTAGGTAGGTGGAGCTGTAGTGATATTCCTCTAAGTTTCAAATCCATGGCTGGTATATGACCACATTCTCTTGACACAAACCATGTACTCCCATGGGAATGTCAGACTAGCCAGCCTAGCAGAGGAATGGAATGTCAGATCATGGGATGTTGGGAATTAAAGCGGATGTTTCATTGGAATCCAGTTAGGAATTAGACAGGAGAACGTGTCCCCGTTTTACCAGGATGCTTCTTCCGGATGGCTGAGATGACACTGTTGATGGTAGATGGAACCAAAGGTTTGCAAAAGCAAGTATTGTCTATGTTCTTTATTCAGGTGTCGGCGCCTGCATTCATAAAGCATCAGTGCTGATCCTAGAGAACCCTATTTCTACCTAATAATGCAGTGTACAATGTATCCAGTAAAACAGTTATTGTAATACCTCAATTAATCACTGACTCTTAAATGGCTTTCTGTCCTGTTAGATAGTACCCTATATGGACTTTTCAGCAATTAAACACCTGTTTGAGTGGATTGGGAAAAAAAATACAAATAATATTATTGCCAAGTGTGAGACAGCAGTTTGTTTTGACTTGGACAACTCAACCATGATGCCTACAAGTGGCTTAACCAACCGAATGGTGCTGAAGCGGAAAATGTATGGTCAGCAGTACAAGACTCAGCTTGTTGCAGAAATCCCCTAGTGAGGATTTGTTGTACTAAAACCAGTAAAAAATATGAGGGGGAAAAAAGATATGGACCAGTGGAAAACCATAGCTGTGGTAGATGTGGAATATTTTCTCAACCCAGGTGGTATTCATCTTAAATGCTGATTGGCCATTGGATATGCGACCGTATATCACGGTTATGACTTTGCATTACTTTTTACTGCTCCAACTCTTTTGGTAACTGGCAGGTTGTTATAAAATGCATGTATTTTCTGTTAAGTCAATTTAAAAATGTTTTCCTAATTTAATTGACCATTTGATGTTTTTATGCATGTATTTCATTATTTTCCTCTGTAAACACATTGAATTGCTTCTATGTATGAATTGTGCTATATAAATAAACTTGCTTGCTTGCTTGCACATAGTGATCAGAATCAGAAAAGTGTTATATTGCCATGAATGTGTTTACAGACAAGGAATTACTTTGGCAGGAAGGTGCGTACATAAAACATATGAATATATAGGTGTATAGGGATAGTGATATAGAAGATGCTAAACAAAATACATGTAAATAACAGTGCAATAAAGCAAATATTGTAGGGCAAAATCAGGAAATGTGCAAATGGAGTGGGTCAGAGTTCAAGGCTCGTGTGCACCCCTGGCCTTGTTGAGGAGGCCAGTAGCACATGGAAAGAAACTGTTCTTATGCCGTGAGGTTTTGGTCCTGATGGACCGAAGCCTTCTGCCGGAGGGGAGTGCTTTGAATAGAGAGTGTCCGGGGTGAGAGGAGTCTGCCACAATCTTCCTAGCTCTCCTCAGAGCCCTCAAGGTGTGCAGGTCCTCGAGGCTAGGCAGATTTCAGCCAATCACCTTTTCAGCCGAGTGGATGATACGCTGCAGTCTGCTCTTGTCCTTAGCTGTAGCAGCAGGGTACCAGGTGGTGATGGATGAGGTGAGGATGGACTCAATGATGGCTGAGTGGAAATGAACCATCATAGTCTTGGGCAGGTTGAATTTCTTCAGCTGCCGAAGGAAGTACATCCTCTGTTAAGCTTTCCTGGTCAGTGAGCAGATGTTTAAATCCCACTTGAGGTCCTGAGAGAGGATAGTGCCCAGGAAGCGGAAGGACACTATAGTGGTGACAGCAGAGCCACACAGGGTTATGGGTGAGAGTGAGGCTGAGTTCATCCTGAAGCCCACAACCATCTCCACTGTCTTTAGAGCATTGAGCTCCGAGTTGTTCTGGCTACACCAGGTTGTCAGCTTCCAGCCTGTAGTCGTACTCGTCCCCACCGGAGATGAGTCCAATGAGGGTGTTGTCGTCCGCAAACTTCAGGAGCTTGACAGACGGATGACTTGAGGTGCAGCTGTTGGTCTCCAAAGACAAACATTGGCAGTGCAATGGTCGTACTGAGGAGCCAAGTGACTTTAAACACGGCACTCGTAAGATGTGACCTTTGCAACAAGCCGGTGTGTGACATGTCTATCCTACTAGATCTGCCCCGGCCCATTTATGTGCTATAATGTGAAGTGGATGTGCCTAGGAACAATAACAGCCAAGCCACTAAGTGATAGGTCACATTAACTCATAGCACAGGAAAAAGTATCTGTTGCATCACTCACCAGAGTTCCTAACTGCCTCTGGAAGTAGGATCAACTCATTTACTGTGTGTCGAGAGCTTCACATGCAAAATGCCAAGTCTTGGCTGATCATTGGCTAGGACTCTCTGGTACAGTCCTTAATTAGTTCAGGTCTTATTTAGATGGGCGGAGTTACTTTGTCACCATCGGCAATCATGTATCTCATAAGGCGGCAATGACATGTGGAATTCCCCAGTGGTCAGTTCTCGGACCAGTTCTGTTCAATCTCTATATGCTACCACTGGGCCAAATTCTATAGAACAAAAACAACTACCTTAGTTATGCAGATGATACTCAAATATATGACTCACTATATCCCTGTATAGAGCACATAAATGCCTGGATGAACCAAAATATTCTACAATTAAACCAAAATAAAACAGAGATTATTGTGTTGGGCAACAAAAATAGAAGAACCAACATTAGGAAAGAACTGGATTCTCGAGCCCTAAAAACCAGGGACCAAGTGTGTTATCTAGGTCTAATGATAGACTCAGATCACACGTTCACCAGTCATCAAGCGGTCACCAAAACAGAATTCTATCATCTTAAAAATATAGCCAGAATCAAGGGCCTGTGTCAAAAAAGACCACGAGAAGCTAATCCATGCATTTATCTCCAGTAGGGTTGACTACTGTAATGGGCTCTAAACTGGACTCCCCCCAAAATACTGTAAAACAGCTGCAGCTCGTTCATAATGCTGCTGCTAGAATGTTATCCAAGACCAAGAGAACAGAGCACATCACTCAGGTTCTTAAATCTTTGCACTGGCTTCCAGTCAGTTACAGAATAGATTTTAAAGTGATACTTCTAGTCAAAACATTTTTGAGCAGTCTGGATACATTTCTGATATGTTTGAAGATAATAAACCAAGCAGGGCTCTTAAAACTAGACATGGTGAAGCTGCATTCAGCAGTTACGCTGCATGCAACTGGAATACATTACCAGAAGATCATAGACGTGCCCCAAACTTATCCATTTTTAAAGCCAGAGTAAAAACATTTATCTTTTCAGAAGTGTATGACTGAGCGCTTAAACGTTACCACACTAAAGAAAAAAAATTAAGACTTCTCGGCCAGGATCTATAGAGCTGAAATGGTTCTAAAGACTTTTGAATAACGTTCCAAGACCTGGAAGTTCTAAAGACTTCTCGGCCAAGTTCTAAATACCTTTTCAATAAAGTTCTTAATACCTGGAAGTTCTAAAGACTTCTCGGCCAGGTTCTAAATACCTTTTCAATAAAGTTCTTAATACCTGGAAGTTCTAAAGACTTCTCGGCCAGGTTCTAAAGACCTGATTTTGGAATGGGTTGTCCAACATGCTCATCTGTGTGCTGGTCGGGTGTCCACAACAATTTGGTCATATTGTGTATAATCCAACTATCAACCAATTAGCATTAAGTATGCAAACCACCTAGTTTATTATCTATATTATACAGTAGAGCCAGTTGTGGACCACATACGGTACATAATGCCCCTCGGGATGGGGTGACACCTTGCTCACTGTCTCTGACTGTAAGAAAATTAAATGGAATATTAAGGGGGAACTGAACTGTTAATGTAACACATTAATATAACAAGGCCCCCCTCAATGATAAATGAAAAAAATCACTTATCACAGACTACTGAAAACTGGATTTAATAGAGACACAATAGGTAGTGTGATATGGTATGGCTGGTCACTTGACAGTCTTTTTAGAGGGTAGGATCAATGTCAACGGTCTAAAAGCCTGTTTGATCCTGTTTCATACTCTAACCCGTCGGTCAGTCATTGTACCGTTTCAAACACTGGAGTCTTTGAGTTGAATAAGACTCAGGCTACTGAGGCAACACATTTAGGTCATCTCAGACCAGTAGGAGACAAAGTCAGGCCTTGTGTCAGTATTTCACTGTTCGTTAGTTTGGAGACTGTAGGTTAGCATGGACCCGCGCAGAGTTGGTTTAGTTGGCCAGGGAACAATAAGAAATGTGTTTTAGTGTTCTGAAGGTCCAAAACAGCCTGTCTGTCTCAGAAAAAAGACTGAGTGTTTTAATCTAAAACAACCAGCATATGCAGGGACTGTATTCTTCAGAGTCTAGTTGGTAACTAACTGAAGGGTTCAGTTCACAT